GTGTACCTCAATTTGTAGCAAATTTACCAATGAGTAGCATCATTTACTGTGCAGTAAGCGTGCACATATGTAGATGCACGTACTTACTGAACAGTAAACTATGCTACTGCGCAGTAAAGCATCCTGTGTAGATGCACCCATTGAATATAAAATAGATGCTTTTTGAGCCTATAACATGGTAGTATCAAACTCATCGGGCCTACAGACCAGCCCCTTATGTTGGATCCAGTATATGGGGCTGGTTTGGCAGGTTACTGCAGGTAGCACGTTCCCTGGACTGGCCCCAGAGCAGCAGCAGCGTGTGCCCCAGATCAGTTTGAAGCTCAAAGGCTGCATGAGCTCTGTACAGGCCCTGAGCACAGCTGGCAGTGTGCATCCCAGACTAGGCCCAAACACAACCCCCACCATACACCAGACAGGCCTCAAACTCCCTTGGCAGAGCATGGAGCCTGTTTTGCCCATGCCACAGTAGTGAGTACATCCAATCTGAGATCCATGGGCAGCAGCAGGGGCCTGATGATAGGGCTCTGTAGGCCAGATCTGGCCTGCAGGCAATTTCTTTGACAGTCCTGCTAAAAACAGATTTAGGGGACACAATTAACAATTAGTTGCCTGATTGCCACTTAAATGATGTAACTGCTATTTCAGTCATTGAAATCTCCTCCTTAGAAATCCATATCCTAGAATTTGCCCAAGTTATGCTGGATGGAGCCCAGGAAAGGAATAAAAATATGGCTTCCAGCCACCATTCTTCAGTGCTAGGTGGCAAATGGAGATCCCACAAAGCATTTCCTATAGTTGGGAATACCTGAAGATCTGGATCATTTTAGTCCTTCTCCTTTTCCCTGAAAATTTCTACCAGAGCAAAACAACTCTCTTAAAAGGTTCTTTATGTGACAGAATGCCATTTTTTCTTTTAATTCAGTCTCCAGCTGGGGGTCCTTGTTGAACTGGACCAGTCCAAAGCTGGAAGCTTCAGCCTGTGAAAAAAAACTATGATCTAAGTGACATCAAAGGGTCCTAGTCAGATAGCTCTTATGGCTGGACTTTCAACATTGAAGATTACACTTTGTTTCAGAAGGACAGGCTTGAGAGAAAAGATATTGGTGTCAACTTGTATGTCAAAAACACATACACCTATTCCCTGGTTGAGGAGGAAGTAGTTAGCAGATCAGAATTCATTTGGGCAAAGATAAAAGGTGAAAGTTGTAACACTGATATAATGGTAGGGATTTATCATAGGCCATCAAATCAGGAAGAGGAGGTGGATGAGGCACTCTTTAAGGAGGCAACAAAATTATTCAAGAGCTATGAGATGATACTAATTGAAGACTTTAATTTTCTGGACATCTGCTGGAAGAACAGTACAGCCAAACATAAAATGTTGAGCCAGTTACTAACCTGTGTGGGGATAGCTTTCTGTTCCAGAAGGCTGAGGATACAACTAGGGGATCATCCATCTTGGATCTTCTCTTGACCAATAGAGAAGAATTGATGGAGAATGTGAAGGATGAGAGGAAGTGATCATGATATAACAAAATTCCAGATCCTGAGACAGGAAAAGAATGAGGATCAACAAAACTAGGATTCTAGATTTCAGGAAGGCACATATCAACTGACTCAAGGAGTTAATAGGCATAAAAGGGAAGACAGACTAAAAGATAAAGGCACCCAGGAGGGCTGGGATTTTCTAAAAGACATAGTATTGGAAACCCAAGAAAAACTGTTCTAACACAATGGAAGCCTAGAAAGAATGACAAGAAACAAATGTGGCTGCACAAAGAGCTTCTAGGATGCCTCAAATGCCAAACTAAAGCTTACAGCAAGGTCACCAAGAAAGCTTACCAGGAAAGAGCAAGACCCTGCAGGAACAAAATCAGGAAGGTAGAGATAAAGAATAAACTGTTCCAGGCAAGGGAGGTTCAAGACACCAAGAAGAGTTTCCATAAATATGCTGGCAAGAAAAGAAAAAAAGAAGCTGTGGGCCCACTGTTAAACAGCCACAGAGAACTTTCAACAGGAGATGCAAAGACAGAACTACTCAACCAGTACTTTGCCCCAGTCTTCATAAAAAATTAAGCTTCAACTAGACACCTAATAAAGATTATTTGGATAGGGAAGGGGTGGAATAACAAAAGAGACAATCAGAGAGCTTTTAATGAGTCTGAATGAATTCAAGCCATCAAGGTGTGATGAACTTCATCCCAGAATACTGAAGGACCTGGCAGGGGAAATCTTACAGCCTACTGGATTCTTGGTTTGACATGCTGTTTCTGCTGCTCTCGATTTTCCATCTCCTGTTGTCACTTTGACGTTTCACAGTACTGACATCCTTGCAACAGACTCTTCCTTCATTTGCTGCAGTCCTGGGAGATAGTTTCCCACAAGTTGATGTTGATACATTTTTTTAAGTTGGTTTTGAGGAGATCCGAGAAGTGCTTTCTCTGCCCTACTCTTGAGTGTATGCCTTGACTGAACTGGAAGAATAAAACTTGCTTTCAGAGTCTGGAGTCAGATGTTTGGATGACATGGCTCACCCAGAAAAATTGATGTTGGATGATCATCACTTCAATGCTCTTGGTGTTTGCTTGTGAAAGGAAGTTAACATTGGTGCATCTGTATGTTTGTCTTCCTTCCTACAGAGTACTGTGTGCAGTTCTAGGCTCCACATTTTAAAAAGGAGGTGGAAAAGTTAGAGATGGTCCAGAAGTAGGCGACAAAAATGATAAAAGGCTTGGAAGGCAAGTCATGGGATAGGTTGAAGGAAATAGGCATCAGCTTGTGGAAAAAGTACTTAGAAGGAAGCATGATAGCAGTCTCAAATACCTGAAGAATTGCCATAAAAAGAGGCAAAACACCTTTTCTCCCTAGTAGTAGAGACTAGAACATGGGCCATTGATTTGAAATGGCAGAAAAGTAGGTTTAGATTAGATTAGATTTGTTTTGGTAAATTCCATTATTCTGCACTGTTTCAGGGAATGAATGGGAAACAAATAAAAATGTCCTCACTTCTGTCCCTATATATCAGCCACACAATGCTGTAGGAACAAAGTTTGGCACCTGGGGCAAAGCCCGCAGCAGCTGCCCACACTTGCCCTGTGCAGAGATCCAGAGAGCACAGCCCCCCATGCTTGCCCAGGAGTGCACTCAGCAGCGGAAGCTGGCCTTCCCCCATCCCCGCGCACCTCCAAACAAGCCACTCACAGCTCCTCCCCACACCTTGCCCCAGCTGGGCAGCACCTGTTGGTGCCCCTTCACTTCGGCACCCAGAGCAGTTGCCCTGCTCACCCCCCTCCCCTGGTATGGTACTGCAGCCACATAAATTTGAATGCATATCCCAGTCACCATCTGGTTTTGGTTCTCAAATGCAGAACACAGGCCTACCTCCTCTCTTTGCATGGTGGTGCATTGCTTTGTTTTCCTTTTCCTATAAAATAATAATGCCTTTAAATAATGGCACTGAAAGCCAAATTGCAGATCTTAGAGGCATAAATTGACCATCATTAGGTTAGTATTTCAAATAATTAAATTGAACTTTAGCTGCTGTAGTCAATTAGTATTAATTCATTCACTTGTTGACTCATTCTGTTTAGCACATGAAGGTAATCAGAAAATAATTTGACTACCTAGTCTGCAATTAGAGATGTGGAGAACATAAAACAAACTCAATTAAATGTTGTAATGTTCATACTGAATCTTTGATACCTGTAGGTGACTTAATTTTTCAGAAGTAAAACTGCTTAAATGTATCACAAATATATTATACATGGCTGCATATGCTTTATATAAATTGTTTGGGTCCAGGTACTGCAAATCATTATGCATACCTGTACTTTTTATTAATGTAAATAATGGTATTAACATAAATGGGACTATTTATGGGGATAAGCCCTACTCAGGTTGGGACGCAAGTTATAATCAAGTGATATTCTTATAGACATGCAGTAAAAATCAACACAGCAAAATGAAAGTATGATATGAAAATGGAGCAAGCTGGGTTTTAGCTTGCACTATCCCTGCACAGTTTGTGTTTTGGTTATAGCACATGGTAAAGCCATTGTGTCCTTGCTGGTATTCACTAGATTAATGCAGCATGAGTATACTCCTACATGCTACAATCGCTCTTTTATTTTGCTATGTAAACATATCTATGAACTCTTTTTACTGAATTTCTTTCCCCAAATGATCCGATATAACCACACTGTCAGACTTTCTGCCAATGTTGAGAAAGGAGAGAGAAATAATGAGGCCACGTAGATATGGCTTTCTAGCAAAACATTCAGGTACATGCAAGTAATAATGAGTGCATACAGTCAGTCACTGCACCCAGTCTACATTCATATAGCTTACTTTAAGCCACATAAATATAAACTGGGAGTGGTATGTACAGCCATTAGCTGCTCTGAGGAGCCATGAGGGAAAACCAGTGTAAGAACCTTGGGTGAGGGAAAGGGTGGGCAGGATTGTGGGGTGGGCGGTTAGGGGGTCTGCAGGAGGGGTTGGCAGGTGTAGGGGCTATGGTGGGATTTGGTGGGGCTGGTGGGCCCCTCCTGATCCTGCCAAAACACATCGATCTAAAGTAGTGTACCTCTGGAGGTGAATTAATGTTGATTGGGCACATCATTTTTGGGGTGATTTAAGTTTTCCGAACACCTGCATAATTAGGTATTTAGATTGATCTAACTCTAGTTAGGTCAATCTAAATGTAACACTTGTACATTTAGAGATTCTTGGGGGCTTGTAGTAATACTACTCCCATTAAGGATGGACTCTATGGATTAGACATAACACATAATCTTTAGCATTTTCTTCCAAAAATTAAAAGACTGAAATTTTATCAACTTGCTTAGTACAAAGTAAGCTTTAAAACTACATTTCTTTAGAACTGGTATAGCAAGTTTCTAGGACTTTTTTCACAATAGTTGGGTGTTTCTGGTCACTTAAGAGTGTAAAATAAAACAAACTTCAAAGTTAAAAAAGACAGTGATGTCATCACTTACTCTGGTTCTTGTATTGATCCCCCAACACAGTGGAATCTCTCTGGAACAGTTTTCCAGTCTTTTGCCATTTTAACCATTGCTCCAGCATCAAGGACTCCATAGCCAAACAAATGGTTGAATTCCAGACCAACACCATTTCTACGCCACTGATGAACCTCATCATGCAGTTGGTTCCTTTTGGAGGTGAGCACAGTCAGATGCTGCATGTCCCTCCATGTTAGATCCAGGCTATGAAAAAAAGCAGAGAAACTGGGTTTGGTCCTCAAAAAAAACAGATTTTAAAGAAAGGCAGTGTGGTTTGAGCAGTCTTTTTGGTAAAGTTTGATGTTGCACGTTCCATAGAAAATGTACCGATGTGCACATACAATGAGCTGGTTCTTGTTGCCAGTACCAAACCATCTGCTCATGTCAATTGGAGCGCGATAAGGCTCTAACTTAAGGAAATGTCACACGTTCCCTAAATTTACAAAATCAAACTTTGTGTACTTTTCTGTTCTTACAAAATGATTACAAATCGCATAATATTGCTATAACAGGGATTGTCTAATAGCTAGCAGTCATAGGCTTATTATTATTTCTCCCTGGCTTTAAAGCAGGGGCAGGCAATTATTTTGGGTGGAGGCTTACTGAGTTTTGGCAAGCCATCGAGGGCTGCATGAGAGGCATCCAGGGGCAGATAAATATTAATTTTCTAAATTTTTGGGGGGCCCCGTGGGCTGGACAGAATGGCCTGGTGGGCTGCATTTTGTCCACCCCTGCTTTAAAGGGATATAAAGAAAACCTTCAACCTTCCCTTTGATCTCCTTCTGTCCTCCAGGGACTTTCTAATTCACCAGACTGACAGACTGTGTAAATTCTGTCATGACAGGGCTGCTCACTGGGTCACAAAACAAGTCCACTGGATTGTGAATAACTGGATCTGTAACTGAAAGATTGTACTGGAAGGTCAGGTATGGAACTGCCATATGAGAAAAATTGTACCAGATGAATAAGAAAGACAGGATTTGCATGTTTCAAATAATATATTTTCATAATTAATTAGGGCATTTGAATCCCCTTAATTAAAAATCATTAATACTGTTCTGTGAGCTTTCTTTAGAATTCTGAAAATAACTGTGAATATGGAAAAATATTTCAGCCATTTTATGGCTGGGGTCTTACTGCAGGCCAGTAGGATTAGCTGTAAGCATAAAAAAAGTTCATTTCTAGCTTTGTATCCTGAATATAAGCATATATCCTATGTTGAGTAGGGAAAACAGTTATTTCCACTTTCTCAGGGTGATATCTTACAAAGCTGTTTCAGAAACTAATGGCAAAATGGCTGTCCACATTGTATATCTGTGACAAAATAGGAAACTACACAGCAGCAAGGAACACTGATGGAGGTACTGTCAAACACTGCCATCTTGTATAACTATGTAGAGAAGTGAGGTGGTCTAGTAAATAAATGATCATTGCACACAAAATGGTTTTATTTTAAAATTGCTGTTAGTTTCTAAAGCACTCTTGTATATGGCATTATCTGCATTACAATTCACCAAATGCCTTAGTAACACACATCTGTGTGCACACTTCCTTCACTACTCATTATTTTGCAAGTGTGTCTTATTGCACATATTTGATAAGCCAACTGGTATGTTAAGAACATAACACGTTCCATTCTGGATCAGACCCCTGGTCTATCTAGCCCAGTATCCTGTCTTTGACAGTAGCAGAAGTGGATGTTTTACAGGGATAGCACCAAACTGGATCTCTCTGGGCCATCCACATGAGACATTTACTGTGCAGTTTCCTAACTAATTGCACAGTAAATGTCTCAGCATCTACATGTGCATATTAGGGCACACAAAACTGCTAAACTCCGCAGCAGGTTAGGACTTGTAAATACAAGTACTATCCTGTACCAGGGCTTTTTTGTGCACAGCAGGACACATGTAGATGCTGACCTGACTGGCTGAGGCACGACGTTGTTTCAGTGCAGAGGCCAGCTGCCAGGTAGCCCTGCACTGAAGTATGCTTGTGCACCTGCCGGTGCCTCCACAGCACACTGAGCCAGGTCAGAGCAGCCCTGGGCTGGCAGACTGACCCCCTACGGCCTCCTGCCAGCTGGGACTGTTGCAACCTAGCTCAATGTGCTGTGGCTCAGGTTCACATACAGACAGGTGTCCACCAGCAGTTAGCTCCAGAGCATGGGCACTAAGGCATGTGGTTGACAGCCCAGAGATTACCAGTTCAAGACCACAGAAGGTGCACTCTTGGTGCAGCTTCTCAGACTCCAACAAATCTTTAAATTCTGCTACATATTTTGTAACAAGGACATGAAATGGGAAGGGATTAAAATAGATACCTGCTTTATTTAGATGCCTAAATTTGCATGTGAAAGTTTAAAAATTTTAACTCCATGTTCATGAAAAGTCACTATTTAATAAACGGGGAAAGAAACCCTTCATGTATCAGTCACATTTTTGACAAGTGATTATATGGTTGAATTGTTTCATTTAAGTCTTTACCCACAGCACTAATGAAAATGAAAGATGCGTCTTCTAGAGACACACAGCATTCAGACCAGACTGATAGCACAACATGTTCAGAAAGTACATGACTCCTTTATATTTTTATGACTTGACAGATTTAATATTTAGATTACTTTACGGTTTGAGAGCTTGATACAAAGTTGCTAACAACTGCATTGTTCATCCAAAGGTTGGTATTTGTCAGTTTTCTTAAAATTATAAAACCCAACCTATAAAATTTGCCCTTATTCACATTCCTTCTCAGTATACTAATAATAATTATTCTACTGCAGAAATAGATTTCAGCGCCAAATGTCATAGTATATTGTGTTCATTCTTCATGCTTCTGCCATGACCAGTGGAAAAGCTAATCTCTCACACATTCTTCACAGAATAGTTGCCCAACTTTTAATGCTGTATAAGTTGGGGTAAACTTGCTACATGGAAAAATAAAGCAATGTAAAAGAAAAGGCACAGTAAAAATTACCACAAAAGGAAGTATGTCTAATCAATAGAAAACAAATGAGATAATCCCAATGGGCAGGGGAATTGATGAATAGATAAATCCCTCCATGCAACAGTTTAGAGCTTATCAGCATCTTGCCCCCCATAGGGCACAACCAGACAAGTGTGGATGTTTGTCTTCTCAGGGACAAGTAATAGTGGTACACCTTGTACCATTGCTACTTGTCCCCAGGGAACGCCGATCCCACGTGCTCTGTGGCGTGCAGCAGGTTACCACCGGCGGAGTAGGGGAAGCTAGGGTCAGCCACTATGCTGGCATCAGCAGCTTTACCTGGGGTCCTGGGGGCCTCCCAGGGCTGTAGCCATGGCAGAAAGCCTAACTGACAGCCAGAGCATGATTCTAACCAGCCAGGCTCTGGTTTCAAGCTTCTGCCATGTGTGCTGCCCCGCTTTTTTGGCATGGGTTTTCTTGACTCTGGGATATCCCAGGGTCAAAAACCCCCCCATGCACTACAAGCTAGCAGTGCAGGGAACACCTTCACGTGTGATGCCGCAGATGGGCAATACTGCACCTTTGCACTTGTCTAGATGTTGCCATAAATGTCATATAATAACTGGACCAACACTGACAGGGATGGCAAAGACTCACTTGTATCCAAAGTAACATTTTCCAAACAATTTGGATTCAGAGACTAAATAGGCTATTTACGAAATGGGAAGGACAAGTATGAAAGGATGTTAAGCAGAAAAAGAATACATTTATAGGACTGTTTTATGAAAGATTTAAATGTGTATGTCAAAATTCTTGATGAGACTGGCTTGACATTCATGACATTTTAAAAAATAATGAATGTGATGTTCTTCTCATTTGCCTTCAGGCCATATGAGCCTTTTGAGTTTAATTTTCAATGTTTTCCACGTTCCTCCCACCACAGACATGAGGGCCAGAAGCATTTTCTTCTTCTTCTTCTTTTAACTAAATCTCAGATTAACATGTATGCATATCTCTAACCTTTGAGGATTTTAAAAGGCCATGGGGCTTGAAACTTTTTGTGATAAAATTGCATGAATTAAAAACAGTAACAAGTCCAATAAAGTTTTTGTTACATGTTGCAGATGGCCTCCTGAATGCAGCTCTTAACAGCAGACCACAGCCTGCAAAATCTTGTATTGAACACCGCTGGTTCTCATTAATTCATCATAAATATTTCAATATTCTGTAACTCCCTAAAAGCCCCAGCTCCAGGATTCATATGCTTCCATGAGACTCTCACTTTTCAGTTTTATAAAAGTTTCTGTGCTTTGTAGTTGCATATTAAAAAATATATTGCACAATGTTTCTGATTATCTTCTGATTTCCAAAGTCTGATTTACATGCTTTGTACACCTACCCTCGTCAATAATGCATTTCTCAGAATGGACAGCAGCAGTGACTAAAGTTAGTGAATAGTCCTCATTGATTGAAATATACCTTTTTGTAAGGGGGCCAATGGAAGACACAAGCACGAAACTCAATCCAATAACATTCTACATTTTGGACACTAAGTTGTGTCTCTATAGTTATATTCTTCCAGAACTGTTCTAGGATCCCCAAGATGTCTATATCCCTAGGATATAGAAACCTAGAACCCTCAAGAGCATAGAACCAACACATACAGATATGGTTAAAGTTCAGAGCAATATCATAGAGAGAATTATTCTATGTGCTTAAACACTTTCACCATATCTCTACAGCTTAAGGAATGGACTGGGAACCTTGCTGTAGGTGGGGCAGGCAAACTTACATGAGAAGGGATCTGGGGGAGGAGCTAGACCAAAAGGGAGATATGATAAAAGGAGTACGGAGATGGCTGAAACAATGCTTGTCTCACTTTGGTGGAGACAGGCAGTAATAGGAGTTAGAGGGGAAGCCAACTAGAAACAGAGGCTTGGGGACAACTTAAAAAAAGGAGACAGACAGAAGAGGGAAATGGAAGAGGAAAACTATGTAAGAGAAGAGAATTTGTGCAAAATGAGATAATGCTTCACTAGCATAAAGTCATCCAGGGCCCGTTTACACATGTGATTAATGCACCTGAATAAACTCCGGTGCTTATTGCTCTGGAGTTTTTTGCTCCCAGGAGCGCTGCTTGAACATGTGCCCAGGAGCAAAAAACTCTGGAGTATATTGCTCTGAAGTTTATGCACAGCATGTGGGGCCCAGTCAGAACAGCCCAGGCTGGCAGGGGACCCCAGGGATCAAGCTGCCAGCCCAGGGCTCCATGTGCTGCATGGGGCACAAGCATCTACACACGAACTGCTGCACACAAAAGAACTCCACAGCAGGTTAGGACTTGCATTTACAAGTCCTACCTTCTGTACAGTTTATTAGTTTTGTGTGCCCTAATAGGTGCATATGTGTAGACACCAAGACATTTACTGCACTGTTAATTAATCGACTATACAGTAAATATCTTGTGTAGACACTCCCCCAGTCCTTTACTTAGGGCTTAATTCCAACCCCATTCAAGTCAGTATGAGTTTTCATTTATTCCAGTGCATCATATATCAGGATCCCACAGCTTAACTTTACTGTAACATGGAAATAATTTAAAAAACAAACAGCAGCAGCAGCCAACACCCATGCCTCCCTCAAGCCCATATTAGAGATTTTAAAAGAAACATACTTAGCCTCCAGGGCTAGTGCAAACACTCCAGCTGCCTCTGGTGCAGCTGCAGATGTTCCAGAATGACGCAGAGTACAGTTGCCATATAAATCTGTAGTAGCCTGTAACAATATAAGCAAATTAATAACACTAACTATTTCATTCTCCTTAGGGCTGCAAATGTAGAGACCATGGAAGGCAATGTTTGTTAAATTAAATCCTTGGAGTAATTTTTTTACTTGTCACTATGATCAAAGTAGTTATTTTCTTCGGATAATAACATATCACCTATAAAAATACATTGAATATATGCATATGGAAGGGGGAGAAAGATGATTAAATAATAATGGCAAGAAACAAATATCCATTAATATATAAAACCCAGGCAGATGATTCTTGTATAAACATATGTGTACTGAGACCCCTTCTTAGTTATTCGAAGGATTTGAACCCTTTTGCACATCAGCAGACCTCTAATACTAGAGTTACAGGAGCATGCCAATACCTGGGAGTAGTAACAGGCTGCTATCTTCTATTTGGACTGGCCACTCACAGGACACATGATTCACACTCTGCAAGCAAACTACATAGTGATAATCATGAAAGTAATGTAGGTCACCTCAGTGCATACAGCTGGCAAGAGTCACCAGGGAATGTATATGTGACATTCTGAGAGAATTCTGTGACATGTGAGAATGTATATGGGATGCTATAATGTAAGTCTACAGTTAGATAACTCTGGAAAACATCTCTTGGCAATTGCTGATATTTAAGTATGACACCCTGAGAACTGGATCCATGGTGGATAATCTCAAGGTTACCAGTGATCATGGTGGATGATCTCAAGGCTACCTCATTACACATCAACATACTAAAATACACTCATACTATACAGGTGGTATATTCCCACTGTAATACTGAAACTCTTGTTCTAGGAACCATGTCCCTCCATTATGAAATTGTGTTTTGCCCTCAACACAGATCTGAACATGTTGGGTACCAATCTCACCCCAGTGCTTCATCTTTGGCTCAGGGACTGTTCTGTGTTTCTGCAATACGTAACACAAAGGAGTCCTAATCCTAAAGGGTGCTTCAGTGCTACCATAGTAGTATAACACCTCCTCCTCTGAGATAACTGTCCAATTAAACTATGGGAATGTGTCATCAGCAGCAAAATGTTAAGATTCTATACTGAGATTTTTCCAAACATTTATTAAAAAGGACCCCTCTTAGATGGTTCTTAAATAATCAACCACTTCTGTAACCACACTCTTAGATCAAACTCAGAAAAACAAACAGTTGAGCAAAGAGCAAGGATTTGCAGAGATGGCCCAATAAGCTTGATAGTATTCAACATTTCTTTGCCCTCAGTATGTTTTTCATCATCCTTATCCTGCCAGATATACACATAAGTATAGACAAATTAGCAATGGCTGCATTAAACTGGTAACATGCTCAAACACAATATGATATGTTACCTTGGGTGTTTCAACTCTTCATTATCATCCAATTATACAGAGAAAGTCAGCTCAGGAATTAAAAATTCTGAGGACATGTATATGAATAAATGGACCTCAGCTTCACTTTCCACATTGGATTCTGATAAATAGGGAACACCACCTACATGAAGCTATAAAGCATGGAGGCTTATTGATGCTTTCAATATTAACAGTCTATCTCAGCTGACAGTTTTGGCACCATCAGGTATCGTGCATTGGAAATATTAGTTCAACAAAAGAACATCTGCTGCTCCTAAGCAGAAAATGATATGGACAAATGTGGGTGAGTTCAAGGAGAGAAACTACACAATAATATCTGCACTCACCACACCAGCTTCAGGGTTCCTTTTCCTTCCATTGCTGAATGTGGAGGCCAAGGTTGAAGAGCAGCTTTCATCGTACAGAGCAGTCCGGCCATCATTAATAGCAGAATTGATGGAGATCGTCCACATACTTGATGCATAGCCATCACAGTTACAATCATCATAGCTGCCCCCATCCCCAGAGGCCCAGACATAAATGCTTCCCTTGCCACTACGTCCCTGTGGAAAAAGGGAATTGAATATGTCAGGTTAAATTACAGTTTTAACTATGGAACCAGGCACCCATCTGTCCGGAATAAAACTGGTACTAGGTAAACATACATCAATCTCAATATGAAGTTGCTGGGAGTACGGCAGACTTTTGAACTTAGTAGTTTCCTGTTAACAGTAACCAATCCTGCAGTCTTGCATGTGAGGAGGGTTCCTACCTGTCTCCTTGACTGCCCAGTATACCCACAGCTTTGCTGCCACATACTAAGATATTTTATGGATTCATTAGAGGCTGGAATTCATGTCAGGTATTTGGCAACATGGGAAAGTCATCCTCTTAAAATGGACACAGCTCACCAAATGTATTGGGATTGTAAGAAACATTTCAGGGCCAATGGCTAAAAAACCCTATACAAGTGCCACCTTTTTTTCTCAAGTAGATTTGCAATCTGGGCATCATAGCCCAGATTGCTTTAGTCTTTACTAATAAACAAGCCTATACAACTGTAAACACAGTAGAACTAATACCATAACAAGAGCAATAAGCCATGCACCCATTAAACAATAATGCTTAGAGGATGTAAGACCATAACATGATTCTCAAGTTATGGGCAAAGTGCTGAGGGATAGAAAAAAAATATCTTCTAACCTGTTAATGAGCAGATATATGAGAGATATGGAGCATCTATGTAAAGTAAGCCTTAATGTCATTTTAATAGGGTGCTTTTCTAGCTGTTATTTATCCCAAATCCACCTTCACAACAATGCCTCATTTTTCTCACAGGCACAACCTTACTTTTTAATCACGCTAGCAAGTCGTATTATACCATGCTGAATCTCACAGCAAGTTGGCTGCCACTAGGATGTGCATCTTTTTAGGATCAAGACTTTCATAATGATGATGATGGCTATAAAGAGCTGATTTAAGTCAATAGAAGGGTGCCTAGACTGCCATTTAGTCAGTCATTTCAGATTTAGGGCATGGGGTAATTTTTTGTAAGAATACATATTGTATTAATAAAAGCTAAGGAACATGGGGGTTTTTGTCAGTCCAACAAATTTTGTTTAGAACATTTGGCTGCATTAATGTAGCAGTAGGCACTGGGAAAAGAGGAAGAGGAGTTGCAGTGCCCTATCAAACCCCTCTCACCTTTATTTATGGGACTGCCCTTGTAAGTGGATAAGAGTGGCTGGTATTCTCACCAAACCACTTCCCACGTGCTCTTATGAAGGTAGTTAGTGAGGCCTAGGCCCGGAACAGAAGATGGCACAGTACTGTTTTCCCCTTATTCTATGATGTTGCCTGGCAGAATTTATTGTTTTTGATGTTGGGAGAGTTAATATGGGACAGTTCTACCATGAAGCAATTGGATAAAAGGGGAGATGACACTGTCCTTTCTTCCCCAGTCTTTATGTCATTAGCAACAATAGCATTGTTTTCCATTGTATTGAAAAAAATATTTCATTATTTTTTTAAATAAAGGCTGTAGGCCCAAATTCTAAGTGCAGGCTCAAGGCTATACATTCCAAGGAGAGGAAAACTCTCTCTTCCTCTTGGAGTAAGGTATCCAAATCATGGAGAGAACTGGGATTTAAAGCTGACCCCTTGCCTTGGCATTTCCTATTGGCTACAGTCTTCAGGCTACATATTACTGGTTGGGACAGGCTTTTTTAAAACAACTGAGTAATATAAAGTAAGAACTGCTTTGCGTTACCATCTTCATTCAAACTAAATCACCAATGGCTAGGGTTAAAAAAATGTTTAACCCCTTCCCACCACTAATCCCCAATATTCTCCATTTCCCAAAATTCACTTCTCCGTTCTAACCAGAGAGGGAAAAGAAGTGCTGCACAACCTCTGCAGCGTCAACTGAGTGTTGTATGCAGAGGAGGTTAGCCGTGTTAGTCTGAAGCCAGGCAGAAGGTAGAGAAGGGTGGAACTTGTGGGGGGCCTGTAGATGTGCTGGGAGGCTGCTCTGACATACTGTAATTACAGCGCATTAGAGCAGACCCACTTCAGCAACCTCCTTGTATCAGTGTCCCCACACTTCAAAATGGTGGCAGGGGCACTTAAACTAAATTTTATCACACAAGCTTTAGTTCAAGTGCCCCCACTGCCGTTTTGAAATGTGGAGATGCTGATACATGTGATGCTGTGGCACTTGAATTAGACAGGCACTTTCTCCCAGCCCCCCCCATGTGTAAAACTGCCCTTAAAGACTAACTGGTTCAAAGAGGCATAAGGTTTCATAGCAACAATCTATTGTCAGAGTTTGGAAATGGAAGGGAGAAAGAAACAAAACCTATA